GAGCGGACCACAACCCCCATTCCCCGTCCCCCTGTACCGCTCGCGGGGGGAATGTAGAGAAAATCAGGAGTAAAGTTAAGCCCGGGAAGAAGGGAGGGGTGGGGGGAAGGTGTTTTTAAGATTTGGTTTTCTTTCTCATTACCCTGCTCTGATTTGATTGGTAATAAATTAAACTAGTTTCCCCAAGTCGAGTCTGTTTTGCCCGTGACGGTAATCGGTGAGTGATCTCTCCCTGTCCTTATCTCGACCCACGAGCCTTTCCTTGTGTTTTCTCTCCCCTGTCCAGCTGAGGAGGGGAGTGACAGAGCGGCTTTGGTGGGCGCCTGCCATCCGGCCAGGGGCAACCTGCCACAACTATTTAAAGATGTGCAAGACGATTGTCTCTGAACAGACAGCAGAACTTATATTTATCTTCACGTCATATCAGTTGTGTTTATTCTGTGAAGGGGTGCATTTTCTTTCCTAGATGTCTTGGAAACTTCTTCCAAGAGAAGCTGAAGAATGACAAAGCCATTTATCTTTAAGAAGGTAAAACCATCAAAAATATAAAACCATTTGGAATGAATGGCTTGACTACATATCTCAAACATTGAGTTATGTTTCATGGGTGCAAATGCCTGCATTTTAATAAAAAAATCATGTCAGCAACATCATCACCCATGCAGCTAAAATGAAATGATAAATGCTAAAAAACTTAAACCCCACAATAATAAATAGCGGCAAGAGAATTCAACAGTGCAATAAAATCTTTTTCCTCTTGAATCAACAACAGGAACACATTTTTATACCATAAATCCTTATAAGCAAACGGTCAAATAAAATCTTAAACATTTGGACAGTTAAAGCACACACATTGATTTGTGTGTTCTCCCTCAAAAGCACAACTTCTAGGTATCCTCTGTCTAAAAATTGGTAAACAGCAGGGGTATGAATTTAAGGTGATGGGGATCTCCTCTCAGAGCACAGAGTAACAACACACTTGAATTCTTGAAATAAAATCTTTCTTCTACATGTGACCTCACTAACTTTTTACTTTGTCTTCAGGTAAGGAAATGAACTAAAGGTATCCTTTTGGGTTGGAGGTTTTTTGGTCTTTTTTTTTTTTACTAACTGTTCCCAAGTCCTTCCTCCTAGCCCACTGTCTCATAACATTAGGTTACTATAGACACAAAGAGGATGCTTTTTCAGTAAACAATGGTCTACCCTGTAAAGACAGAAACGTGGCTAAAGGCTTGGCTGAGCTTACAAAGCCACATCCCATCAAGGGCAAACACCTACAATGAACCCCGAAGGATGCCAAACCCTGAAGGAACCAACACAACTCAGATGTCAGAGGAAGTGGGAAGCCACAGTGTCACTGCTTAATGCTCATAACAACAGGCCTTTTACAGATTTACTGGGTAAGTACAAGGAGTCATTCTGCCATGATCAAAAAAAACCCCAAAAACCAAAGCCAAATAATATTTCTGTTAGGTCAACTCAGTGCAGCATCCAACAATGAATGTATATTGCAAAAATTGGTTCCAAGGCTGTGCCTGAAGAGTATTTGTGGTAGCTTTATCATCACACATACTACTATGTTTGCGTGAGCTTTGAACTGCAGTAAATATCCACCAGTTTTCAGTAAAACTAGAATATCTCATGTTAGAAGAATATTCTGTAGCTCATTTTATCATTTTTTTCATAAATATAACGTGGAAAATCATTTAGTGAGCTGAGAATATTTTTATTTCTGGACTTTGCCTCTTAATTAAATCAGGACAAAATGTCAGAAGTTACATTGTCACACAATAAAAATAATCTTTAAAATAATCAGTTCAGGTCAACCAGAGAGTTCTAATATTTCTAATTACTTTGTCTCAATCTCAGCTTTTTAAATCTGTTTACATTTATATTCTAAAAAGACTAGCTTTGGACAAAAAAACCAAAACAAAACCAAAAAACAAACCCACAATTTTTTACTGCAATAGTTTTGGTGCAAAAACCTACTGATATCAACTTTTGCTTATTAAAAAAAAATCTTAAGACTCGATGTTGAAATTGTTCCCCAGCACACTTTGGCTGCCATTATGGGTAAGCCATATGAAGACTGAAGATTAAAGGGATTGTGTAAACGGTGATATATATTCAGGCTTAAACACAAACATGTTGACTCTGCAGTTTTCTCAGTTGGGCTTGTGCTGAAAAGTGTAAGAGAGAAAGGACAGAACCAGATATCTGTCGAAGATCAACTTCATCAGACATCTGTGATTATTCTGATTTTCAAATACGTATTTACTTTATTTGCTATAGAGAGGCTAAAAGTAAAGAAAACATAAGGAATTTGGAAGACACAGAAGCCTGTATGAGAAGGGTCTGCTACCTTCAAAGGCATGCACAGCCAAAGGTAATAAGATCTCTACATTCTTTTTATTAAAAAAGAAAATATGTGGAAATTGTTTTGCTGATGTTTTCTCTTTTAAATTCCCCTGAGAATATGGATAATAAATAACTGACAATAACAGATTGCACACTGTCACTCGGAAACCATTTTCTCTCTGGAGAATTGATTTTTAATAACAACATAGATGACATGTGGCAAAAGTTGTAGCTGATACCAGAGTTTTGTGGGCCATAATAAATCAAATCAATCTGGAGGATTCCAAATGCATGGAGCAGAGGCTGAGATTCCCATTTAGGCTTCATTACACTCGTGCGGCTCTGTGCAAGACAGGGAGGGCTTCTCCCTTGAAGGAGGAAGATATTTTTTCAATTTGATTAGCAGATCATTTAAAAAAGCCAAAAGATAACAGTTGCTATTAAAATATTGCCCTTTGTTTCTGTCCATATGTGGCCTGCAAGAACAGAAGTGAAAAGACAAATTGCAGCTATTGGAAAGAGTGAGGCATGGTATATCTACACTGTAATTCAGGGTAGAGAGTCCCAAACTAGCTTTAATCAAGCTAGCTTGCATATCAGGAGCAGGCCAGAAGACAGCTCCATATGGAATAATTTATTTGGCCGTGAAACAATATATTCATCTGTGGCTGAATTTCAGGACTCGTGTAACAGCTCAAATGTGACCATTCTAGTGCGCTAGAAATCAGTGTCCCAAGCCAAACTTAAAACAACAAATCCAAATCACGTATCTTTCTTGCTTTTAATAATGAAAACTGGGAGTCTAAAGCTGTCTTGTAAGTTAGGAGGTTGAAACCTAGACATCTATTTTACCACTCAAACCACAGTGAAAGAGCTCGGCCAAACAGCATTGCCTTATTTCTTCCACGGTTGCAGTACTGCCCATGTCGACACCTTAATTCCACACTTATGGAGTCAGTGCACAGCAACCATGGCTCTTTAAATTCACAGAAACTTCTGCGTGTTAGAATATTATCTAGAATGTTAAAGTTAGAATGACATCTAACTTTAAAAAAAAAACCCAAAAAAACTAATTTGAAGTTTCAAAGCACTCAGGACATATTCTTCAACTCCTCTGTCCTGACCTGTTAGTGTTTAAAGCTCTTTCTCCTTCAGCACACTGAATAATCTCATCACTGATGAGCCATTTAATTTATTTGCTTTCAGTTTATTGTGCAAGTAATGATGACCCACTTGTGTTGCTGGGCAGTGGGGAGGAAGGTGGCTTCTCCACCTTGTCCTGACAGCTGCACATGGGGTCATGTGTCCACACAAACAACTGAGCAAACCCAACCCGGGGCTTGTTTCTGACAGGGCAGATGGGGAGAGACAGTATACGAGACTGAAGAAGGAGTCAGTCTAGCAGATGTCTAAGAAAAGTGGTGGGGGGGGGCTGCTTGCTGCAAGGAACAGGCCCACAGCCCACACTCCAAGATGATATAAAGACGACTTTCAGAAGAGATTGTAAGCAAATTGTTTGATCCAGAAAGCTGCTGAAAGTAGCTACACTGGAAAGAAAGAGTGCAGAAAAGGATCTCCAAAGTCAGAAACCACACGTGGACATCTCTGAGTGTGCCACCAGTCAACATGAGGTGAAATTTCATTCACAACTTAAAGACATTTGAGCCAGCCATCTCAGCATTACTGGTGCCCAGCCACAATGAGACTTACTCATTGTTTTAGTGTGGGGACTTCTAACTTACTTCCCTTCAGATTGCATTCTTTTATGTAAAAACATGCCTGCAGAAATCTAAATTAATAGAAAATATTCTAAAAATGCACAAGTTTTCAGTAAAGACAGTCTTGCTGAAGCATCCAGTGGAAACTTACACTCTAAAATATGATCAAGTTTTTACAGACAAAGAGAAAAGTCCTTTCCTGTGGGGCACCCAAACCTTGTTCAAGGAGAAGAGACAAACAGACTCTATGCAGTCTCTTGGAGGCCTATTTGCATGATAGTTCTTGTCCCTGAACTATCACAGAAAAGTCATTCATCCTGCAAATATATAATTGCTTCTTTTCAAAGTTTAGCATTCACCTGCTCTAGTCATTACTGGACATATTGCACCTAAGTACAAGTACATTGAAGCTAATTGTGTGAAAATATTTATGACTACCGAATCAAGTGAAAGCCATCTGCTCATTAAAAACCTCCCTGCTATCACAACAGCATTCTAATAAGCTGCAACTCAGCTGCATCGAAGAAATGGTACTTACAGCACTCGAAGAGACCTGAGGCCATTGAACGCGTGGACTGGAATGCACCGAAGTCTATTGTAACTCAGGATGCTGGGAGAATGAGAGAAGAGTTACAACATTGTATTTTCTTTGATTATTTCACTACTAATTCAACCACAAAGAAGCATGGAAAGCCACATGCTTAAGTAACAAGATATATACTAATTGTTCAACACCTAAGATGGTGTCTGAAAAGCAATTAAAACTGTTATCGAAACTTTGGACTACTTACAGTGTTGATAACTGAGTCATGTTGCTGAAGGTGTAATTGGCCAATACGCTTATGCTGTTGTTGCTCAAATCACTGAAGAAACACAGACAGAAAATATCATTTATATGTATGAATTGAGAAATAAGTCTTTTTTAAAGATTACATAATATCTGCACAGCAAAATGCTTGAAGCAATTGAAAAGTCAAATATTATCAATTGATACAATATTTTCTAACCAACTTTGAATAAGCTTTAAAAGCAAAGTACATCAGACTCCCCTAAAAAGCTTCAGATTTCCAGCATATAACATTAAAAAAAAATAGCAGTGAATACAAGCAAAATTTTTGAAGGATAAATTAGTAGATGATACAAGCGCAGGTGAATATTTACTGTAACAACTTGCTTTGCAATTTATTACAGGCATACCATTTCCATATGCTCTTCACATTGACAGCTACTAGAACAAAATTTCATTTTTCATTTAAAAAAAAGTCTTTTAGGCTCAAACAGAACATTCTGTTTCGTTGTTGCTCTCCCTTGAAAAACAAAAGTAGAGATGTTTCCAAATAAAACACTGTTTTAAAACAGAGGATTCCAGTTTCCCCCTCCATGTTGTTTTTCTCTGAGGTTGTTCTGCCCATTTGACTTGAATATCTACGGCTGATTCAAAGAGCATTTGAAAATTTCTGATAAATAGTTCAGCCAAGAAATTTCACTCCTGTGTATATTCAGGGAGCGATTTACTGCAAAAAGTCTAGTTGTGTCTCTATCTGTATGACTGTTCATAGCAGAAACAGCTATGCAAATTTTCATTGCCTTAGCATTATAAATACTGCCTCACCTAGAACAAATTAATGCCGTCTCCTCTGTTAATGACCTTTACAGCTTTGCACACATAAATCTGCCAAGTGAAACTGTAGCAGCGTGCATGAGAGCTTAGTCCTCTCACAGAGGCTGGAAGCTCCTGCAGAGGAAGGGTCTCTGGTGCTCTCAGTCACCTCACTCTTTCTCCACTCTTTATGAACACTTATTGGCAGCAGTGGCCACTGTGAAATTCTTTCCAAATTCAAATTACAGAAGGTTTTTGGGTTTTGTGTGTTTTTTTTCCCCAAAATACTAATTATTTATGTTCCACCTGCAACATAGTGCAGAAAGAGTCATGTAATTTTCTTGACATTGAAACCACGTGTTTCTTACATCAGTGTCAGGTGTCTGAAGGTGGAGAGCCCCTTCGGCACAGCAGTCAGATGGTTTCCTTCCAGGTATCTGAAAAAAGTCAGATTTGACAATTACACAAACATGTTAACAAGAACTCCTGTCACTCAGTCTGCACCATGAATGAGGAAAATATAAAGTCAGTCACTAAGGAAATTATCTTTGATTCCATTGCTTTGAAACTATAACAATTTTTCCTTTGTAAGTGAATTATGCAACATGCAAAGCATGACAGTAACTTATTGATTTCTTTTTTTTTTTTTTTTAAGACTTGGACGCAAATAAAGGATCTCTGGCCTACAGCAAACAGAAATAGCCATTTGGTTCTTCTATGACAGCAACTGAAGAAGGGGAGAAAAATCGTACGGCTTGTGCCCTGAACTTAAAGTTACCTTTAACAAGTTTCTGTAAGAACACTGAGTGCTGACTGACCCTGTTAGGAAAGTTTTTGTCTTGTGCATGTAAGTTCCTTGTACAGCCAGAACTGGAAAAGGAGCTGCACTGCCACGTCTTTGTGTTGCAAAAAGTCTCACTTATTCCAGTGTCAACATAAACATCCATCAGTTTGGTGCCACATCCATTACAGCAATTCCTACTATGGCATATACACCCTCCTCACCTTTCCTTTTCAATGTATGCTGGTACAGGAGGAACACTTGGTATAAATTGAAGACCAAAGACCAAGTTCTCTCTGAATACATGCTCCTCCTACAAGCACTAAGTGTATTTAATAAAATAGCTTCTGTTTCCAGGGTGGAAGTTGTTTGAGACACCACTGAATGTGTCTATTCAGACACATGCACAGTAGGGCTAAAGCCTTTTGGGATAATCCTATGTCCTCATTTTCCTGGAACATAGTGCCTGTATTTTGCAGTTTTTCTCCACTGAAGAAACATGATCATTCAGTAACCAAGAGAAAAACCCTGAACAAATATAATGCTTTCCAAAAGTTTGCCCAGAAGAGCATGGGAACTCAAGACTCCACAGCTGACCTGCAGTAGTAAAGGGATGTGGGGCTTTTCCTGTTTATTACAAAACAATAGAGACAGAGCTGGATTTCTTTCCTTAACCTTGGCTTTTGGGTGAAACTGCATCCCTGGAAGATACTGAGGTAGTAAGGCTCCAATGGAAATTGACCACTGTGGTGCCATGACACTGTCATGGTGATCCTCCAGACATCTGCCAGAAGCCGTATCTACCTGGGAAACAAATCCAACCTTCTCAGAAAGCACTGTGCAGGAGGAAGGCATTTCTCCCTCCACAGGTGAGGATAAAAGATTAAATGATATTTCCCTTCCTTACAGATACTTTGGGGGATTTTTCCTAAGGTAGACATGGGGCAATGCAATTGATGTGGTATGTTTTGAAAGATAATCAAGCGTAGCCAGGAAATGCAGCCCACAGACACCAGAACACCTAATGTGCTGCCTCTACTGCTGAAAATATTATCCGATAATCATGTTAAGAATTTTTATGCCACATATACAATTTCCTTTTCTGTGGCAACAGACCTCCTTATTCTGCATTTACTATAGCAAACAACAATAATAATAGAGTATTACTGTACTATATGTTCCCTCTCTACATTAACTGTAACAACACAGAGATATTTGTGTAAACTAAATCCAAGAAAATTTTCCCACAAACTTTATTTTTACATCATTTAAAAATAAAATCTATAAACACTAACAGAATTTCTTACATAATACATTTTATAACTGTCACATTTTATCCCCCCCCCCTTCTATTTCAGCATAATGCCCTCTCACCTGCTGCTTCAGCTCTCTTTTCAACTAAACTACTCCAACTAAACTACCCCAGCCTCATGGTTATCCATTCTGCCTGTGCACAGGATTCCATCAAGGCAGAGTTACCTTAGAGCATGAGGTGGAGCTGACCCAGCTCCTGCTAGGATTAGGCTTGACAAGGGGGACTACAGGCTTTTGAATTTTTAACCAAAAGCAAAATCCTTCCGTAATGAAAAAACCCATACTGAACAAATGAATCTCTCCTTTCACAAAGATCACAAGCATCGAGTGACAGTGTTGTACAGTAAACAGTTAGCCGTTGCAAAGTAGTGACAGCTGCTCTGCTGACGCAGATTATCACAAACCAGAGTATGGGTTAGTTATGCCACATTTACACCTCCCATGGATATTCATATTCAGCAAGTGTAAAGTCACTTGCTTCATTTTGACTAAATTTGGTATAAATTATTTTGAAAATGGAGTTCCTTGGTGAATTCACACCATAAATTGTTACGCAGAAGATCCTCAGAATTCAAGCACATATGTTACTATTTAAACAGGGCAAATCATGTCTCATTTCCCCAGTCATGGTCTGCTATGGACGCAGCAAGCTGCTGGGAGTCTGTGCCTTCTCTTTCATCCAAGAAAGTCGCAAATCTTAAACCCGTGCATGAGGGTAGGTTAAGGTTCCAGTCTTTATTCCAAATGTAAAATCCAAAGGATTTCCAAAGGAAATCAAAAGCAGGTCATGTATTATGTATTTGGAAGCTATATATGATTTTCCTTTAGGAAAGGAGACTCAACTCTTGCAATGTGTTGAAATCTTCAGAAATATATTTTCAGGATCTTCTCTTGTTGATCCCAATATGAAGCAGCCTGCAATTTGAACAAACTGATGATGGCTAGCCAAGGTTTCTCCCCCGTTTTGCTTTCTAGTGCAATCAAAAGTCGAGGGTGCATGTTTTAATCCAGTGCTTCATTATTCAGACTAATATAGACATGCAGACCTCTGGAGTTAAACTCCTACAGAAGATCTGCTTTGAATGGCTTTGGATTTGTACTGCAAGCAATTGGACGGTTATATAAATGTGCTAGCAGAAAGCTGCAATACTTATACCAGTGGTGTAATTTCTGAAAAACACAATTTTACACTGAAAAATTACTGATTATATACTTTTCATGCATGCATAAGAACAATTCGCCACTGTTAAACCTTTCACCACATTATACAAAGAATGGCAATATTTTCTAAGCAAAAGGCATTCATTTTGAAAGCACATTCAAGTGCAATGAATTTGAAATAACCAGAGCTTTTAGGGCATAAGAGCATGCCGAGAATCAAGAGGATCTGAGATGCAACATTTGAAGAAACCAATTGCTGCAGGCGAACTGTTGCCCACTGTGGGCCAGTCCTCCATCAGAGCAGGGAGGGGATGCGAGGGCAGCAGCTCTGCACCTTGCTGGGCTGAAGTTGATGTATGGGGGTTGCAAGAGGGCTGGAACCTGGGCATAGTGAATAACAGAATTATTCCTGAGGGTGAAGGGGCAGACCCCAGTTACAAAACTGCGTATTTATGTATACGTATATATAAAACAAACATGGATGAAGCTACAGAACCCCTGCCCAAACAAAACAAACCGAACAATAACAGACTGATGTGGAGGGAAGACTGTATTTTTAATTCTTTTCAATCCTTAGCCAAAGTAAGATGATGTACATGGCATCTGGTATGCAAAGAAATTCTGGCATGAATGAAAAAATTGTACCTCTAATTTTAATGCTCAGAGTCAAGTTATTAATATACAGAGTCAAGAGTGGGTGTCAGCTGCCTTAATACAGACATACTGACTAGCATCCAAACCAACCTCATTTGCTTCCTAAAGTCTCTAGACTCTGTAGTTTAATAAATCAGATTGGAAATTGTTTTTTACCCCATGAATACTGCTGGGAATCCTGAAATCTCAATAATGACTGGTAACCAACAAGCAATTAGAGCCAAAATTGAAAAAACCCCAAAAACGTGTTCATGTCTCATAAAATGGCACCAACCACCTACCAGGAAAGGCTTCTTCTAAAGTGTGACCAAGTGCTGGAGACAGGTAACTGTTTGGCCAGGATGGCTGGCACTGTGGGCATGGCCATGCCTCGCTCTGTGCCTGCACCAACCGCGCCAGCTCTCAGAGCTCAGTGCCTGCAGCAGCCCCGGGGCTCATCCAGCACCTTCCACACACACTAACATCACATATAAAAAAATTAAAACTATGCATAAAAGATGACAGCTGTTCTTTTTCCAACTTGTCTATTTTTATGCTGAAACTACTTGGATTGGAGGTGATATAACCAGTACAAGGTGCCAAAGCACCATGTAACGATTTGAATCACTTGGAACCTTTTTTGTACTGAAATGTCTATTCAGTCATAAAGTCAAGCTCACAGCGGCAATCTGTGCTAAGAGAAGAAACTGGAGAGAGAAATCAGTTCTCAGGCAGTAACTGAAAAGGCACAAAGCCTTTCCTTTAATTTCTTTAAATATTTCATATAGAATGTTACATTACAAAAAAAGATGATACTCGACAATTTCATGCAGCTCTAAAATTAAGTTATAGTCTAAACTTTTTAATGCAGATATCCAATATCCTAAAATTTTGAGGCAAGTTTCATTTCCTAAAAATGGTGGTCTAGAAGAGAATTGGACTGTGAAAGATGAAACAGATCAGCAAAGCATGAATTTTAAGAGCTTCAATTAGAGTTTATTGAGAAGAAACAAAATTCAAGTATGGATCTAGGTACAAATCTTGAACTTTCTTAAGTTTTGGCAAATTTGGACTCTGGATTTTGCTGCATTTGTATGTCAGACGACAACCTACAGGTTTGACACACAGAAACATGACTGTGTTTGAGAGAAAAGTGAAGACCCTAAAGTTAAGCTTACCTCTATTAGTGCTAAAGTCACCTTTCTGATATGTACTCAAACTTCAGCAGCCACTGAACACATTATTTGATAGTATTGATACTATTTACTTTTTCTAAACTATCAGATTTGAAATGCAGATTTAAGTCCTCTATTTCAGCTGTAATTAAAATTTCCTTCTACAGAACTATCCATTCTCTGAATGGGAGAATTTTCCTCCGCAGTGAATTAAGCAGGCTGTAAAACGTTTTACTACACAGGACCATGGAAGCCTAAGCTTTGATCTAAATTCTTTCTCTCCTTTATTATCAAAGGAAAATGCACTGAAGTCTGTGTTAAGGGTCAGTGTATAAAATAGTGCAGATTGCCAGACAAGCAAAAGCATTTGCATTCTCAAGCAGATGACTTTCATCAGATAGTTCACTTCAGAGTTATCCCTTTGATCAACAGCAATATAGGCATACTGAAAAATGGCACTAAATTGTTACACTATTCTACATGTATCATAACTAACTGCTTAGAGCATATTTATTGCAACAATTTCAATGGCCCAGGTGTGAGCCACTATTTTTAGTCACAAGTCAAGAGGAATCACAAGTGCCTTGGAAGATGGAAAGGAGGGTTGTGACTGGTGGTAAATACTTCCAGGTAGATGTGGCAGCAAATGCATGGGAAGCAATTGTCAGAATCATCTTGGCAACTGGAGATTCGTCTGAATAAAGGTGCCATGCTAAGGCCAAGGCAGCAACAGGCAGCAAACTAGAGGTGGGGAATGAAGAGCTAAAAGACAGTTCAATGGGATTCCTCTGCTAGTAAGCAGGTCAGCCACTTGCGAAAACTGTTGTGCTAAGTACTGAATAAGCTTGCAGGATAAATGAACCTAACACGCAGAGCAAAAAAACGCAAACAGGAGAGATAAGGTTTATGAGGAGAGAAAGAGAAATGGCAAAAGTAATGCAAATATTAATATGTATGAATATAAATGGAAAGAAAAATAATCACTAACAATGATGTATGGATGCAGGTCTTCCTAACAAGCCCATCAGTGCTATCATATAACTCAGTGTCATGACGACATTTGGAGTCTAGAGATGACTTGATTAGTACATATTTATTCTTAAATACACCATGCTCATCATGTTACAGCTTATGCACACGCCGTCCACATAATTGCCTCCAATGTTTTTCCCCAGTGAAAAATATTATTTGCTGTAGGTCCATAAAAGCAGCTGGATGCTGTCAGATAAGACTTTATTAGAAATAGACTATACTTTTGTGAAAAAAAGAAAAAAATAGTGTTCACACACTGAGGTAATATGTAAAAGGAAAAAGAGCATGGGAAACTTAGTTCAAACAGATTTGGGGAAAAAAAAAAAGAAGAAAAGGAAAGCCTAAAACACTAAGCAGCAGTGAGGCTAAGTTCCAAACTAGCTCATTGCATGAACATTTTACTTCTGAACATCTGGACTAGAAAACTGAGTATGTTCAAAAAAACCAAGGCTTCTCTTCAGAGCAAGCAAACAGTGGGAAAAAATGTAGGCAGTACGTAAATATAGAGCAAAGGAATTTGCAAGACACAACATATTTCCCTATTCCCAGGAATCTGAAAGAAGGCTTGATCATCACCCCCCATGATGACGGGGTTTTGTGAAAGAATTGCTGGGAAATAGAAATTTCTTGCATCATCATCCCTCTAAAAAGCCAGGAGACTTAGTGATCTTTTCAACTCTATTCTAGATGGAAGCCTTCACTGCCAAGGTAATCCCTCCTCCCAAGGGTGGTACAAACCAAACACAGGGATGTCTCCTGTCATTCCAAGCTCTAAATATGAAGGAGATAATGGTTTTCACATGTTTTGTCTATATACACATCCAAAACAGAAACGCAGGAAGAAAGTTGGAAGGAGCGAGCCTATGTCTCCAGTCCACCACGTAATAAAACATTGCTGGTGATCTTTTTTGCTGAGCTTAGGTACAGTGAAATTTGACCCAGCAAAGGGTAACATTTTCCCTATGTGTCTGTGCAAGAGGTATGTTCATTTTTGCACATTGCTATTTAATACCTGTTACAATGAAAGAATTCCTGTTTTAAGGCTATTTTAAGACCTCTAGAAGAATTTAAAAGTACTTCTGAGAAGGCTATATTCAGCCGTAACAGACTGGTTTATCTAGATACATGGCAGGTTTTTTTCTTAAACCGTATTGTATAAAGACACACTGCAGTTTAATAAAAAGCACTGCAGCTAATGTGCCTCGTAAATGAATACATCAGTAATGGAAGTTTATAAATGTCAGACTGGTGCATTCATAAAAATTCCTCTAAAATGCTACCCTGCATCATAACACCGTTCAGGCCTCCCGCAGGGAGGAAGCTGTAGGCTACCAGGACAAGAGGCTCTTTACACCCTTGTCCTCTCCTTGGCATGGCTTCTGCCTTAGTGACCATGGTTTTGTGCGAGTGCCTGGGAGCATGGAGACCTCAGCACACTGCCCAGAGGTCTCTGACATGAGAGCGTGGAAGGGGAGAAAGGCAGCGCGTAACAGCGTATGAGGCTGTTATGGCAACACGTGGAGGGGGAGAAAGGCAGCGCGTAACAGCGTATGAGGTTGCGGCAACACGGGGGAAGGGTTTTTAATCTATCTGAGCACCTGTGACCACTGTACCAGTGAGAAAAGTGAAGGCATCCCTGCCTTGGAGACTGCTGTTGCTCTCTCTAGCCATGTAAAAGCTGTGACATCTGCTGCAGCAGGTAACATGCGCTTTCCAGTTTCAAGTGCTAAACAGATATCCACTGCTACCGCAGAAACAAAACAGCTTTAAGAAGATACTCCAGCCTTAGGACACAGTTCAAGGGGTCTAGGACTGCCCTAGAGAAAAGGGGGTATTTTGGTGTGAGGAGTGTAAATAGATTGAACAAGATAAATCTCTCTCACCCTGTGCCCAGAAAGCTATTGGGTTCTCTCTGCCAAGTTTTAGCTGTCCTGAAAATGAGGCAAGAGGTGGGGCTCCACAGGAGATGCTGTCTACCATAGCAGCAATGACAATTCTCAAACACAGAACAGTAAAAATAGTTAAGTTCACACTAGCAACTTGGGACCTAGATGATATAGTCCCTTCTAGATTATGGGCAACATCTTTATCTCAATCTGGAAGCAGAAGGAAGGCAAGTAAGATTGATTTTTTTTTAAATTTATTTATTGATTTCATTCTTGTCACGGTTTCCACAAACACATGAAATTTTCAGCTTCAGTACCTGCAGCTCATCTTTTGGTATGGATACAAATAAGGAGCTCAGTTTATGTTGGTTGAAAGGAGAGTGAGATCAGGATTGAATTTTGAGACAGCTGGGACAGATTCAAGGTTATATTTGTAGAACATGAAATATTCAGAGCCAGCCAGTCCATGTTCTGCTGACACATTTCTGGATTGAAAGCAGAAAGCTGAACTAGAGGCTTGCACAGCCAAGAGGCTCCTACTGAAGAAGACAGTCACGTAAACTCCTATGAACTCAAACTGCTCAGTTCCAGGCTATTGCCTCATTTGCCAAGAAATAGCTTAAGAAACATAGCAGTTTTCGAGAATGTGAGATTAATTTCACTCTTTTTGTGAAAGTTATGTCGTCAGCGTATCAGACAGTATCAGTAAAACTCAATATGCAAAATCTAAACATAAAAATTCCTCAGTGTGGCAGTGGAAATCAAAGTAACATCTGCGACATCTTATTGTTGGCAAGTCATATTTGAATACAATGAAACCTGAACAAGAACAGAGCAGAAACCACCTTGCAGACTTCTTATCGCTGGTGGCAATATATAAGGGAATACAGGCCAGGACTTGGCTTTTAATTCAAACCACTATTAACCATGCCCTGGTTAACAAGGATTAATACATCCGAGGATGTATTAATTAATGCAAAATTTCCATGTTAATTTGAGTTACCACATACACTTTCAGTACACTCCTCATTCAGCAACAAAGTCTTGTATTTGATTACAACACTGGTAAAAACAGTGCAAACCCATTCTCCCACTGTGAAGGGAAAAAAAGATGTGTATCTCATTCATCAGCTGCCTTGTTACTAAATAGTAAAAATAATACTAGATACTAAAAAATAGCAGAATCCTATTTTAATTCACTACAAAATTCACCGAACATACCAATTAACTCAACCAATTACTTTCACATAGAATTGTTGATTGTTGATGAGATTGTAACAAGTTTCAGTAACGACTCACCTGGGATAGGTTTGAATAAGGACCTAAAGGGGAAAAGCTCAGTATTTCTATTGCCAACTGGCTAAGCCAAGCAGTTCCAGCAGTGTATTTTATTTCCATGGAAAGAACCAAAATCCAGTATAAAGTTGTAGCGAGGGGTAGATGAAAAGACGACTAGAAAGATGGTTCTCAACGAGGATGAATTTACTTTACAATTTAATCTAATTATCTGTTATTTTAGCCATTTCATGAGGTTTGGAGAAAAGAATTCATTGTTTGTTTCCACCACCGGCTTGCTTTCTTTTTCTTTTTTTTAATCTCCTCAGAGGATAATTAGCTCACAGCTGCGTAAGTCAGGAACATATTTTCATCATCCTTTCAAACTGCCTGTTGTGAGCTTAGGCTGCTCAGAAGCACTACAGGATTACTTGATACTAATATATGCATTTGTTCCCTACACACAGGATTAATGGGTACAAGGACAGATAAACTCTGTCCCCATTACAGAGCAATGTATTCAGTCAAGGGACAAATAGGTATGAAAATAACAGTCAAAACATATGGAAAGCAGCAAAGCACAAAACACCAGCCACTAAAGTCAAAGGTAAAACCCCCAAGGACCTATAAAGCCTCACTATGATGTAATTTCATGAACTTCTCATGAAAGGAACTACGTAAAAGGTAACTTACAGCTCAGTCACGTCTTTGGGAATTCCTTTGGGCAATATCCGCAGCCCTTTGTTGCTGCAACGTACCACCGAGTCCACACAGGTACACTGGGAAGGACAAGGAGGTGAAAGCAAGCAGCTGCTTTCATCGTTACCTGCAGAGGGAGAGAAACGGAGTATTAGGAAGTCAGCTTTACAGCCCAGAGTGATGCACTTTGAAGATAACTGCTTACAAGGACCAAGGAGGGAAATCCCTGAATCCATGGTAACCATCACAGTATTTTAAAGTAGATCCAATGCTTTGGATCAACCTGCCTTCATACAGGTTCCTCAGGCAACATGAACATCAGTTCAAAAACTGAATAGCAATATTTTTAAATAAATATTTTTTTCTAAGGAGTATCTACGTCTCTGTAATTTTGCAAATTACAGTAAAATCAGTTATGTGAATCCCAAATCCTTCCCCCACCCCCAATGTACTAGCTGAAATGGAGAACTTGACCAGAACATTGCCCTTAAATTCATCTAGACAGATGATATTCACTGTCTACTCCGCTTTTGGAAGATCTTTTTAAAATTCAGCTTTTAGATATTAATTTTTTACTTTTTAAAGTCAGCCTGGCACTTCATTTATCATCTGAATTGTAAAACCTCATTGTTTTTGACAAGGATAACCAGGCAAACAACGAACTGAACAGCATACTTCCAACTGCTGGTGATCCATCTGTGCACGCATAAAAATAGCGAGTTTCTCCAAAAATGGACTCAAATGTCCATAAACAGCAATTGAAGAACAATAGGGTTTCTGCAGAAGAAACCAACTCTTTGAAGTTAAGAACATTAAAGCATGGATTTTCCCCAAAAGCAGCAGGCTTTGCAAAACATAAGGCAAACGCATACTACAGTATCGTGATGTGTATGAAAGGAAACAGTGGCACATTCTCCAGATGACAGTGAGAGGAACCGTACAACTGTTTGTGAGTACAGGCAGCCTGAGTTGACCAGCACGGAGACACAGTACTGCAATCCAAGAGCACACAGCCAGCTACCATCATGTGCCTTCTTTTTTTTTAAACTGATGCAAGGACTAATCGAGACAGATCTGTTTCTTTCTTCTCTCTGCTGGATGTACTCATGAGCATTGAGATTAAAGAATAAGACTGGAAGTCCTGACACAAGGTAACAGAATTACCCATAAATGTATGGGTAGGGAATCATTTGTATTCAGAAGGATGGAAAAGCACGACCAGCCTACAGAACAGGGAAGATTTTTTTTCTTTTTCTCCCCAGCTGAGTTTAATGAGCTTAATGACTGGAAACAAAATTCAGTCTTTCATAAACCTGCAGAAAGAGCATGTTTCTTCAGCATATTCAATTTTCCCCTATGTTCTGTGTTTTACACCCTGCCACCATCTACCTTCCATTCACCACGGCTGTCTGAGTGACTCTATGATAGAGAAAGCTCCCAAGTGTGGAATGTCATTTTGTGAACCAGGATTTTTTTTTTTTTTCCCAAACTAAAAGCAAATTATTCTTTAATGACTAAACTTGTGTCCCTTGAGCTCTGAGCCCAAGCACCTGGGCCTGTTGCCACATTGCTGGACTAGGACAGGAATTAATTTCTACTCTAAGTAGGAAACTTCTATCACTCTTATGGTCTCTTTAGAGATATGACTAACTGCAGCTCCAGCATATCTGGTCTTAACAGGCAAACACAGCCTACAAGTCAAGTTGGCGGTGCATTCACCAGTCAAGTGACTGGTGAATAAGTTTTCTCCTTATTATTTTCTCTAAAATCTGCTTGATCAGAAGACAAAGAACTACCTGGAGAATGAAAGAAATGTCAGGATTTTTTTTTTTAAACCTATATGGACCCGGCAAAGCATTAAGCATCACTGAGTCATTTGAAATAATATCTAAGTTTTTTTATTTCCCTGTATTCACACCTCTTATTGGTGAAACTGAACAGTATCCAAAACTAAGACTTTCCAAGCAAGCACCATTCCCACTGGCTTCAGAGTGTTCACTAAGTGTATGAATAAGGAAGTGGGAGGAAGGGCCAGGATTATACTGGGATTATACATAGCAGAGCATTTGTCTATAATAAATTCATTCTTATATTTAGGTGTAGACAGTAGAAATTCAGAAACTGGAAATCAAGAATAAAAATAAACTCCTGATAGGGAACAATGATCTTCAGCTCTAGATGGCGGTCTTCCTCATCACTAAACTGTTCACCGTGCAGTATTGCTTGATAGGAAGGGAGGTCCTCACAGAGGTGCCAACATTATCATAAATGCCGAATTGAACTGGATTTTCTTACCGTCGCAGGTGAAGTCCTGAATGTCTACATCTTGGATTGGAATATCCTTTAAGAAAAAGGGTTTCAAGCAGCGTGGATTTCCACTGACAATTCTCTTCTTCCTCAACCATTTTCCCAGCCAGGCCAAATGGCAGTTACAATTAAAGGAGTTAGCCAGCAAATTACTGAAATGGAACAAGACATAATTGCATCAAACATGAACATACAGAAATACTGAAATAACTACAGAAAGATGATGGGTTCCAAGACCAAGCTCCTTCCTGCCATCTGTTTCTGCAAGATCCTCCTCTGTATTACAGATCAGGGATGTTCTATGCAGGTTTTATACTAGGACGAGGGTTGTAATTAAAATATATACACATGTGCGGACGAGGGTTGTAATTAAAATATATACACGTGCATATATATATATATATGTTTATAAACCAAAGTACTTCCTGCTACAACTATTATTTAGACATACTTACGTTACTACCAGAGCTGTATTTATAGTGGATTTCAACCCAAGCTACAGCTCACAGCCAAGTCTAAACTCACCTCACACACTGCACCCACGTATGCACGATCTTCAATGTCATTACTTCAGGTAATGCCATGGAAAAGTTTAGCACTGCTAGCCCTTAGCACAGACCTATGTGTACAGCCAAGCTGGCTTAGCACACTGTTCCTTGCCCCAGCACGCTCATGCTTTCCACTCGCCCGTGTTACGGACCATACAAACCAGTGCCGGGTGGGAGCCACTGGCAACCTGAATTTGGGTTTCCTACTGAAGTAGTAAGGATAGCACTCTGTATGTACATATATACATATATTAAGCAGCACTGTCAGCTTAAGCTACTTCTTATGAAGCTTTCTAAGGTCAGTATATCTGTAGTGAAAAGCGTCTGCTCTGCTGCCTTGTGAACTTTGTGAGGTCTGCATCAAATCTTGCTACAGCTCCCAAAATATCTTTCAAGTACAGTTGCAGCCTAGCTGCGGCACTGTGGTGTGCAGTACCCAAAGCAACAATTTGACAGCCTCCATGAGAAGGATGGATTCTTAACATAGCTTGGGTTAGCAGTGTTTAAAAAAGGAAAGCCCTATCCATCCTATTGTCAAGCCATGAAAACATAGATGTATAGCAATTTCTCAGCGGAGCATCTGCAACATAGATAGTCAGTATAGAAAAGATATTATTCATTTCTATTTCTTAATACGTTGTGATCCTTTGAATGAAAGGAGTGTAAGGTGACAGTTATTTTAAGCAACCATCTTTCTAAGCTAACTAGACTTAGTGCTGAGAATCTTGGAAAAAAACTTTTTACTGGAGTCCTGTACTGAAACGCCTATCCATAATTTGTGTGTAAGCTTTTTTATGACTGAACTTCAGATGAAGGAAAGAGGCTGATATCCCTGTAAAACAAGAAGGCTGACTATCTTATGTACAAAGACAGGGAGAATCAATAGCCTCAGTCTGAGGTTGCCTCATTGAAGAAAAATGAGCTGTCAGAGCCCCATGTATGGAAAATGAAGTATCTAAACTAATGCTGATGGAATTCTCACATCATATGTGAATATGTCCGAGAGTTATTATTTTGGTAGTACAGAAAAAAGATGATAACGAAATTTCTCTAAAACACAGCATATCTTAAAGACAAAAAAATTTAAGGCCCTAAAGAAACAGGCTCTTCAAATGCAGGTGCAGTAGCTGGAGACCTTGTAAGTCTTCACTTGCAACATACTTTTACAAACCTAAACATGCAGTCAAAATCACATTAGGTTTTCAGCCAAGCAACTCCTTAGAAAACAATAGTGCTGAAGAAAAAAACCTTTGGCACAGTTGAGGTGTGACAGCAAGAAAACAAACCCAAACCAGTTCCTAAATTATATAGGTTCTAGGCCAACATCACATACCCACAATATGATTTACAGCTGCTCTCTGCGTTGTAAAAAAGCATAGTTCAATCACTGCACTAGCCTGGAGCTCTGGGTGTGTAATTACATGTGGATCTAGCACAGACTATTGTACATTGTGTAGAAGGAGAACTGGGGGGAGGGAAAAACTCAGCATAATGTTCAATAATAAAAATAACCTACTTCATGCTGACTAGGATTCAAAGGCAAGGCTAACTTGCTGTATAAAGGTGAGAAAATGAACAGGTTACACAGGAGCTTTCAGACAGAATGTGCAGAAAAGCACTGAAGGCATTACTCTAATTCTAGTTACTTTCCTTCTGAATTGTTTTCCATTTTCTTTAATCCATAATGGGACCACATGCAGGATGCCTTGTATATTTTCCATACTGACATACTTTGGCATGAACAGAGTGTTTAAACCAAGTATTTAAACCTCCAATGCTAAGTGAACCAATGCTTCAAAGGCCATTTGTTCCACTGATGGAAGAGAGTGAGATCATATTCACAGAACAACTTCCATGACACAAATCCTTAGAATGAAATAATCCACAACTGGAAACAAACAGCAGGTGTATATAATCAGGTTTCTGGAAAAACAGCAGCTCTGAATGTAAAGAACATTTTGCACATCTAGAGAGCATCTTACTGGGACATATCAAAAACTTTCAGAAACATTCGAACGTTCAATCTACAAAATGCTCCCATTAAAAAAGTAATTATTCCTGTTCTGAAGACGAGAGGTCGCTTTGACTTAATGTGTTACTACTCACTAGCTGAGCAGCAGTAACTATGCACAAACCCTCATTTTCTTCTTGGCAAACGCAGGTTAACATATGACCTAAAATTTATTAAACCCTTGGATTAGAATTTGGATTATGCTTTTCTTAGGAACTAAGAAAGAAATAAGTTGTTACATATAAAATGAATAAATAAACAAATCTACTGTTTTGAAATTCAAATAACTCTGGGGAAAAAAAGGACAAATCTATCTTGTCACACATTACACACGTCCTCCTGCCACTTTAGCAACATCTAAATTTCGTCCTTTGCCCAACTGCAGAGCAGTGATTTTTTGCTTTAATGTAGTATGAAGTTCATACATGTGCCTACATACATGCTCGTTCCATGGCAAGGTTGTGATGCAACTTTTGGAAAAAATGTAAGATCAAGGCTCTCTATAAAGTGTCACGTGGGACAAGAGATTCCCCACTTCACCTGAAAAGCAATTGAAAGTCTGGAAGGGCCAATTATTTGCAAAAGCTTTATTCTGGAATCTGGCTATTCAAGTGGAGTTCTCAAATCACAAACAGAAATGTTGGGCAGACAAATTGTTATAAAAATTCATAATCAGAGTTTCTACACGTAAGATAGTGATTTAACCACTCAAACAGAAACAAAGCAATTGAGCTTTTAGCAAAGATGTCGTATTAGCATAAAATTCATAAGTGTTTACTCAAGGACATAGACATATTTTTAAAATCAAGGGGGGACAGAAGTCTTGAGGAATGAAATATGCATATTCTACTACAAGTGTCTCTTAAAAATTGCAAAGCCATAGAATATTAACTATTTAAATGGATTCTAGTGACCTGTTAGAAAAACATGCTGAAACGCATCTGGATATTGTCAAAATTAGGTTGAAAATATATCCTGGAATTCAGGTTAAGTTTATACTAGAATAGTCAGATGTTTAATTCATGGAAAACCAGTTCTGCTTGCAAACATGCCCACTTGACTGTGTAAGGACTGAAAGACATGACCGAACTCTCTGTATGAAGAAGTGCAAGCACACTTCAAATTAGGATGCTACAGTACCTAGTTAAACTAGTAATAAATAATAAGAACTGCTATTTTTTTACCAGTAACCTACAAAATAGATGTTCGTCCTCTACTGAAAACCATTAGTCAGGGCATTATTTTCAGAGCTGTTTGTGTTTTGATAATATCAATGAGGCTGACTCATAAAGAGTAATAACAAAAGGAGCAATATTTTTTAGTGCTGTAAATATGCCATGATAAAAATGGAAATGTTAAACTTTGTATGAATTTCTGGCTCACATTAATAGATGTAAAAATAAGTCATTACAATACCCGATTAACTCACAAAGTGTGGGTTGAACAGGAAAAGCAGTCATTCTATCTATCTTCAGTAGTATTGTCATGTAATATATCCACCTACAACGGAGTACTGCTAGGAAATGAACACATCTGAATTTTGCATTTATATGTGAAATATCACTATGGCCTTAAACCAATGTCTAAAGAAGTCAAAAGCACACCTTCTCCTGTCTGTGGATCAAGCACAGAGTGAAAATGTGTCAAAGAACAAAATTTTTCATCAAGACACAGTTAGGAACCTGCCAGACCCACATGACTATAAGTCAGTGCCAAAGCAATGCATTCTAATTAGCAGCAGCTTTAATTGCTATTGCTACAAATTGTAATCATCTTTATCCACAGCTGAAAAAAGAAGAAAAACAGGCTATCTTCTAACAAAACATGACAAAGATGCTGCTATGCAAACAAGGTAGGGACTTTATAGACTGATTCAGACAGTCACAGCTATTAAGGGATCCGCAGAAGGAAGAACAGAGACAATTGCGCGAGAAGCAGGCAGGCATTGTTTGCAGCACAGTGAGAACAAGCTTTCAGCAAGTACCACTCGCTTTGACCTGTGACTTGAAAACAGTCAATAAAAATAATCTGGTTGTGTTTCTCTCTTTGTCCATCAATTTCAAGGAGGCTTTTGGGGACTACAGAAAGTAAATGGAAGAAAAGTCTGGGTTCTTTATGCTGCATGGAGATAATGCCAGAATGATAACTGATTTGCTGGTGAAAAGTTGTAACAACAAAATGAAAGTGTGAGCAACAAAATAGCTGAGATTCAACACTTCTTTCTTCCCCCAAACATGATGGAGAATACTTTCAAAACCTGAAATGCAATAGCACTAATAGTTTATTTTGACTGGACAATTAGGATGTATTTTCAGGGCAGTGTGAAGGGAATTAAGCAGACAACTTCCATTAACAGCAACATCAGGGTCCCCATTCACAGCTGGAAACAAAGAGCAGACTTTCTTTCCATATTTATCAGTCTGTACTTTATTAAAATGGACACACTACAAAAAGCATGTAAAGATATTTAAGAAGCAAGGGAAATACTTCAAAAAAGGACTGAGAAATATAAGAGAATTATCACAAAAGCTTAGGCTGGGATTTTCAAATTCACATTCAGTAGGACTGGAGTATTTTGTCCTCTTAGGCTCTTCTGAAAATCTAAGCATTAGCTAGTAGATTTCTTCTGATATTTAACTGATTTAACTGAAATCCAAGAAAGCTGTTCTTACAAAATTAGACTCTACTAAAACTAAAGCAGCTTCAGGGAGCTAAGGTGTATGATAAGCTATGCACTTCTGAATCTGCAGAGATTGTTTTACATGAACTTCTGCTGTGCACTGCACTAGGCTGTGACACGGCAAAACACGCAGTCATCCTGCCTGAGGCTGGCAACCTCAAAGTTTTTTCAGCCACTCCAGCTGAAGCAATTCAAATGTTTTTCTAAATCACATCTTGAATCCTCCAAACCTGCGATTTCAGTAGGATGGGGTTTTCTTTCCCTAAATGAAGTTTTCCATATATGAACAATAAGTAGTTTGATTTTGAAACTCAAACATTGTCTTCTTAAAAGGAAAGCACTGAATAACAGCATCGTGACATGTTCATACCGTAAAAAGATAACTTACATTGTAGACAAAGAGACTAATGTGCTGAAGGCTCCAGGGGTGATAGTGCTGATGTGATTGTCATACAGGGAAAGAAGCCTCACTGAGCTCAGTCCAGCAAAGGTGTCATTGTTTATACAGCTGATAGAGTTGCTCCTCAGCATCCTGCAAGGATTAAAACAGGGAATTAGGAACTACTGGGAGGGGGTATAATTTCAGGATAGGAGGTCCTTTATCTAGGGCATCAACAGATGCTTTGGCAAGCACTGTACTCTATCGATTGCTGAAGTACAACACAGCTAACGGAGGGCTAAATTCATGTAAACATTGTCTCATGAATTTAAAACGCATTTCTTCCACACACTGTTAGAGGCTGATGGGAGCTCCACATCTGAAAGTAGTATACAGTTACAATTATGACTAGTGGCAAACTTGAAATAAACAATTAAGTCTTAATTTAGTAAATATCTGAGAGTAAGTGAAGGTGTATTTCAGAGATCAATTGAGAAAGACTGCCAGAAAGGTGTGACAATAACAATACTAGCTGCATTACTTCTACTCCTATCATGGATGGTTTTTGTAATCCACACTGCAAAAGTATGGAAGGAAACAGCATCCTCAGCAGAAATGAAGGAATAGCTTAGGAAAGATTTCCAGACCTAACAGAAGCTCTGAAATGTCGTTATAATCATTAATTGACAAGACAGAAAGCAGTAACCATCCTATAAAATGGTCTTTGCTCAGTGCTTGTACCAGATGAATCAGTGCTGTGTTTTGGAAGATACATCTCTCTGAGTTGTTATGGTAACAATGAACTCGATGATAAAGCCTAATTAATCTAAAAGACTGTAGTATCTTGTTTCACTCCATAGCAAAAAAAGCTCATGTGTACTTGTTACACTGCATACCAGTCACCATCTGGGTCTGTAAACATCACTACACAGTTGTGATATTCCTACTTAGGTGAAAAATTATTCAGTAATTAAAGCATAATACCAAAAATCCAGAAAATATATGCAGCTCATGCTGCTGTTCCAGTGAATTGATCCTCCAAATTGAGGAGGGTTAATTCCTCGGTACCAAATTCATGCAGTGAACAATGAAAATTCAGACTCCCTTAGAAGTCTGGATTTAAATCTCAGATTGGTATCCGCCAGTTGGACATTCAGATACTACATCAATGGATACTTGAAAAACACCAAAGAGAGATTAGATATGGCTGGAAAGAAATTCACAGTGTAATCACAAATACTCAGTGTTTAAGACCTGGACATTACATTGCTTTTGCATTACTGTTCTCTATGCGCAGTTACCATCGCAGCCACTACGGTCGCAATAGTTTTGGTACTGCAACTGGGGTGAAACGATGTCAGAAAAGAGTCACAGGGCACAGAGACACACACCTTACACGTGGAGTACTAAGCTGCCTGGAAGCCAGGTTGCAACTGCAAGATAGGACGACCGAATTTGGATGCCAATACATCTTGCACAGTGATTTATTACATTTCAGGAAACATACAGTCTTTTAAAAACTGGACCATGACCCTGTCCAGCGTGGCTTCTTTGTAAAAGACCACAATTTTAATGCTCAAAGAAAGTCAATTAATGGATAGAAATATATGTCCCTCAAGCCAAAACCTTTGGTTTCGTATCATGGTTCAGCATGCACTGTGTGCCCTTTTTGAAGAAAAACTTATACTTACAGATCCTCATATCATGCTGTGTATATTTAGACTGCTTTATCAGCTGGGGGAAATGTAGGTCAGGTCAGCAGGATAGCTTGAATGTTAAGCATCTTTTTATTAAAGAATGCTGAATTTTGTTTAGGAGGACTGCCACAGGCTGCTTTACAGTATAAAAATTAATTTAGTATCTATGGACAGTATTTTCAAATCCCTTAGTAGAGTGCATACATTAAGGAACAGATGGCTGTAACCACAGAAAAATGTTAAAGGAACAGCAAAAGAAAAGTTCCCTATTCATCATTACAGGCCAAAGTCCTTGAAGTGAAACTTGGATTTCTTTTTACACTTGAGTAAGGACTGAAATAATTGTGCCATGGTACTTTGCAACATAAGAAGTATTTGCTGCTAATGAATAAATTGCAGATTTTGAATTGCATTTTGATTCCTAGAGTCTATTTACTGACAGCATCCACCTAGTCAAGTGCTTTCTTTCTACAGCAGGGAAGACTATGCAAGAGAGGTATTTTTCACATACAGATCACACACATCGTCTGGCATGAGTCTTTGCTGTCATCAGAAGCCTAGTCCCTGACTGCTTCTCAGGATGGTGGATGGGGTGGATTAGACACCATCTTGAAATCTTGTCTGTGTTTCTTCTTCCAATATAACTTTTAACATGAAAATAAATTAGTGTTAGGTACTATGAGTTTACGTCTAAGCATTAGTTCTCAGAAATAAATTACAAAGGTTGTCTAAGCACAAAAGTAATGCCAAACTGATTTCCTATGCATTTGTGCTCTATGTCTCCTTCACACTCTCCCCAACCACAACCACATTAATAATATACCCACACATAATTTTTATGGTAGTTGGTATGGGCAAGAAAGAGCATGCAGTGGCTAGTCCAAAGCCCTGCCTGTGCTCGTGGGCTACTACACCTGATGCAGAGTGAGCAGCCAGCTACCTTCTGGCAGCAGGACCTGTAACGGTTTGGTTATGCCTGCCTTAAAGTTGCTTAGCTATACCTGTTTTGGTGGCAGCAATAACTTGTGTCTTTCTGCTCTCCCAAGCAAGCTACTGATTTCATATAGTTTGTAGGATATTAAAAATCTTTTAGGCTCCTAGCCTCCTCTGAGGTTTGGTTTAAGCAGACCAACAATTCCAGTTTGGGTGGAGACAGAGTGGGAGGATGGACTAATAGATAGCAAACACGTTCCTATATGTCTTGTTTCCATAGGAAATAACAAAATAATAAAAGTATTAAATGATTAAAAGTGCCCAAATTTGACCCATGAGAGGTTCACCGTCACGTTACTCCTGAAATTCTTGAAAAACTGATAAATCTCAAACCTACCCTGGACTAGAAATATATTGAAGACTTCATGACAGTGATACAAGACCCTGCCTTAGAGCTTGTTGTCTAGTAACAGATATTTTAGCAGGCATTGCTGAACTTGAGCACTCCCACTCGACTTACACAGGAACAGAGAAAGACAAGTCTTTGCACTTACAATGTCTTTAGCCCTGTGAGGCCTCTAAACATTCGTCCATGCACTGATTCCAGTTGATTCTCTGTCAGAATCAGTTCCTGCACTCCTGAAGCTCCATCAAATGTGCCTTCTCGGATCTCCTTGATCTTATTGTTGCTTAGATTTCTGGAAGGACACAATCAGTCACAATAAGATAATTATTAGCGTTCTATTCCAAACGTGTCATCATGCTCAAAGGAGGAAGATAGGAAGAATATGTGCTTTTTAGTGGTTATCTAGAGAGACATTCATTCAAGTTCAAACGTATACCTACTGTACTTACAAATAGCTCCCCTTCACTCATGAAAACCACAATTATATCAGGTATATCAAGAGTATTTAAATTAATGGAATTACCAGCTCTTACACCTCATGTCATTCTTGCTTACAAGGGTCTCAGGGATACAGTAAGTGGGGGTTTCTAACATCTGATTAATGTCCATGAAGTTATGGACCGTGCTAGGGACTGGGTGCTCATCTGGCAAGAATCAGTTAATGTTACTACCATTGAAATAGGTACCACACATTGAAATATGGACCGCTTTGATTTAGTGTACCAGGACCTCTACCCTTTTTAAACTCAGCGCTGGAGTAACATACAAAACTGTGCGACTGTGTGTATCTGATACAAAATTTAATATGTGCACTCATGAACTCCCAGGCACTTAAATTTAACACCACCACTCCAAATGAAATGAGTATCACTTAATTCTCAATTCACAGCTACTGCAATATACAGCATTATTTTCTAAATATTTACTCTGCCTATACAGTCTCAAGATGTTTGCTTATAGATCAACATTGGAAAACTTCAATCTACAAAGTCAAATAAAGTTCTGATGAAATGCAAAATTAATCTTTTGAATATTTCATATTTGTGAAAACCCCAGTGAGTAGAAAACTTCTGAATGATAAAATGCCATTGGAGATGCATAAAAATAAGTGGCATTTAATTATTTAAAGCATTTATATAAAAGGCCTTAAGCACATTATAACCTTGGGCCTCAGTACTTCAAGTATCTCCTATGATGCCCTGTATAGATTATGATGAATAATTCTATTTGTTTAGGTTTATGACAGGAAACACTATTCTTTGTTTTACTGCCTACAACAAAAAAGAGAAAGTAAAAGATATGCTCTTGCTCTCAAGAAGATGCCAAATTCCAACACTATTACTCATACTGAATAGCACGTTATTCCAGAAATGATCCCAGTACACACGCAGCATGAGTAATAGTTTCAAAATCCAATTCCAGGTGATATAAAACAAATGACAAGGTATCAGATTAACACCTGGGATACTCTGCTCAGAAGAACAGGCAATCTTGTTGGGATAAAAGTTGACAGAAGACATGGCAACAGGACAGCCTGGCCTCAGATAGAAATAATGTGGGTCTTGGTCTTTGCAGAAGTCATCACTTAATAAAAAAAAAAAAAAAGGTTGAGTCTTGGAGATATGTTTCATGTGGGAAACTTGAGTATGCTGGTTTATGTCTGCTGAACAACTGTCAGATAGTGGGCCCTACAGCATGTGGCCCATCACCTCTTGTGCATTCTGTGATCAGAAAGAATAGGAGTATGCCAGCAATCAGCCAAAAATAACATAAAAACATGTAGAAATACTTACATGCAGATTTTGCTTTCCAGAAGTTTAGTACTTTGTGCTAACACTCACATGAAGAGTTTATGTTCAGTGTCAAAGCAAGTCAAGGAAGGATATTCTGACATATGCATTTAATTTTGGGGCTCAGCTATTTCTCTAGTGGAAATATTTATAGCTCAGCATCTCTTTTGAATGCTGGCATAAATAATTGCTCCCAATGATCCTTCTCCTGGTAAAGATCATGCCATGATGCATATTTGCACAAAAATAAATGAATAAATAAGTAAATGTTTGCAGTGGGAAGGGAGGGTGATTTACTATAATACACAAAGACTTTGACTTTCAATTCACAGATTGCAAACTGACCTATACTTGTAGTTACAAAGTTTTATTAGTTAGTTTTTGCTATCTAAAAGATATTTAGTCACGTATATTTAAAAATGGGTGCAATTTTAATGGGTGATTAGATACTCAAGGCAAAAAAGAGCAAATATTGGAGAAAAAGGCTGTCCATAATTTGCAAAGGAATTGGCACCTTTATACAATCCACACCATCTGAATTTTTCTTGCTGTCAAAGAACTTCTGTAGATAGGGAACTTCACTCATTTGAGTTAATAATGCCTGATCATTTCAACAACAAAAAATTATCCAAAAATATGCTAGCAGTTTCAGAAGGCGGCAGTTATATATACCTTTCCCATGCAAAAGATTTGAAAATCCAAAATTAAATGCTATGGTCAAATCAAAGTTGCAAGGCACAGAAAAGACAAGCTTTACAATAATAAATACGTAAAGATGACACTGCCCTGCAATCCCACTTGGAGTATTGTCAAAGCAGATGTTCTGCCAACCTGGATTTCTCCATTTGTCTTCCTGAATTAAAGCTTCCCATACCATAAGGCAACAAAAAAAAAAATATGGTAGATGACAGCACTTATTCACTCAAAAAAGAAAAAAGTATTCTCCTTAAAGTCTGACCTACTAGAACGATAAACATGAGAAATTACATACTTTTCAGTCTAGAATTACCAGCAAACATAATCAGCTGATACAAACCTTGAAAAATTAAAGCAGTGAAACTTTTGCCTGCTCTGCAACTCAGAGAGCCCTACTCTGTCCTTCCCAGCACTAAAAGAATCCTTCATATATGATCATAGCACTTGACAAGGAATTTTTTTTTTTATCAGAAAAAAACTTCTGACAGACTTTACAGCAAACTCCCATTATAGAAACCCCCCTCCTCTTGCAATGCTAAGCTTCTATAAGGAATTTTTCTTCAATACTGGAAGACAGTGGAAAAGAAAATGTCTTGAGTATTTCCCAAGATACCTATACCCTCTGGCAGGACCCATATGGGAACCTGTAGTCAACCTGGTCACTCAAGAAAGGTTATTGTTTCCGTAAGGACTCCCTGATTTACCCTGGTGATAACATTTAATCCTATATCCAGACTTTTATTTTGGGCGAGAGGTCAAAAGATTTTTTCAGAAAGCCTGGGTTTACTTTATATGGGGCTGTGAATAGGAAATGAACAGATCTAAGAAGTTATCAAGGTGACATTGTTCACACAGCTCACTTTTCAGTCAGATTTTATTTACTTTATGGCTAAAGTTTATAATAATATTATTTCTGTCGATCTTATAACCAACACAGAACAAGCTGGATTCTATTCAGAGTTAACAGAACCATTCATCCTGCTGTACCTGCTGGGTCAATTTTAACATTCCAGCATGCTGTTCATCGCTGCGTTACCGACAGACCTTCCCGCAAGAACAACCACCAGAGCGCAGTCCAACTGCAAAGGCTTTGCTTGGTCTCACCTTGAACCTTGTACCTTTATCATACAAACAACCTGTTGTGAGGGGGGGGTTTCCCTAGAATATTTCTGTCTGTTGATGATGTGTTTGGAATTTTTAAGTATATGTTAAGAGGAAAACCCCAATACTGTTGCATTCTTCTGGAAGAAAGATGTTTGCTGACATGTTACAGCTTTTACCAACAGTCTGGCTGGCTTTTACAGAGCAAGTTGTTCTCAGAAGCAGGATGGCACTGAAAGTCTTAAATACTACAGACAGACAGTGAAGTATGCCCAGTGACACTCCTACATTCATTCAGCAGAGCAGACTGATGGCCTCGCTGGTAAAAAAGGGAGGCACATGATGAGCCCAAATGCCATGTACCACAACACTCTACAATATCATTTCCAGAAAATAAAGTCCGTTGCTGTATAACAAGTGACAGATGACTGCAACCTCAATTGCCATGGCAAAATTTATGCTTAGGGGAAAGAACAGCAGGTAACAGCTGTTTCCAAGGACACGAACTACTTTTACCTCCCCAAGAAACTTGAGATTCTGTTTTTTCAACTGACTTCTAGTCTGCAAACTTTATCATGATTCAGTTTTATTTTGCATGTAAAATGTGTTAAATCCTGGGCTGACACTCCATACAATTCAGCGTAGGAGAAATATTTACAGACAAATTAAGCCTCCAAAAGCAATTTATACTAGAGGCGGGGTTGGCAGTACCAGCTATTGCCAAGACAGCCTGACACTTCCTGTTATAAGACCATATTCTACGTTCACTTTGTAACTTTGGCAAGATTTAACAGAATGAACTGTCAGATGTCCCTTTCAGGTTTTGAGGTAAATATTTTTTATTGTTCTTGTTCTCCAAGAAAAGAGGTCAGTCCCCTTTATCCCCAGCAGTGCATGAAGTATGGCAGTTCACCTTTTTATTTTGAATGTGAGCTCATTGCCATTTTTTTCTCTGCAGAAACAGCTGCTGGGACCTCAGTGGGAACGGCCAGTCCCACTGATTTCCCGTACGCAACAGGGAGTGGGCAGGCTCTGGAGCTGACATCTAGGAGCTGCAGCCTCTCCCTGTGGGACAGCATCCCATTTCAGCAAGCAAGTGTATCTCCTTGCTCCCACTGAGTTAGGCACCCAGGGGGGTTTGGAGCTTGAACCTGTCTGCCATGGCCAGAAGACCCCTCCAGGCTCCCACTGCCATGGGAGTCCCCAAGCACTGGCGGGTTTTTCCACTGATTAACAACTTGAGGTAGTCCCAGGGAGTCGTGGGGTCTCCAGTGGTAGATTCATGCTTAATTTGGTAGTTGCTGCGAGCAAAGAACTGCTCCCTTCCACAAAAGTCAAAACCTTACCTCTGTGAATGGTAGTGTTGCCCCTCACCCCTGCCTGATGCAAGATCTTGCTGTGTTGAGTGAGAAGATCTCCCACTGGCAAGATACTCCTCTGTGAAAGGCAGAAGCTTCCAGATCCCAGGGCTGGAGGACAGCAGGTCCCAGAGCCTTTCTATCTCACAGGGGTAGGATACCCCCAAAAACCCAAGTCGTGGAGCCGCTCCCACTCCTATGGAGCTCAGAAACGCACCTTTGTATTTCTCCTGCACTTCGAGCAGATTCAAATTGCTCTTTTCTAACCACCCTGCAAAAGACTAGCAACACAGTTCTTGGAGCCTGGAAGTCACTGCAATGTGACTTTAGCTTTCAGAGACAAGTCATACCTTTACACTTGCCAGATCAGGTGAGGTAATACTGTAAGAACACAATGAAAGCAACACAGAGTTCAAGACATTTTGCAAAACCCACTGGAGAACCCAGTAAATTACTTCTGAATCGGGTTACATCTGTCTACAGGAATTTTTATTCTACTGTAAAGAGCATTAAACGTAAAGATGGATTAAAATTTAGGTTATGAAAATAGCATTATGTATACGGGATTTTGCAGCTAATTATTGAAGTTGATAGTTTTTTTTTAAAAAAGGCATATGCAGACACGTTAACCTTTTAAAAACCAGCAGGGTAATCTTAGCAATTTAATTCCTAAACAAAATGTGGCATAACTTTGCATTATGGATCTGTGACCTTTCCATTTCTATATCAAGAATTCAATTTTGTTTTGCATTAAAATTTATTAAATCTTGGGCTGACACATCATACAATAAGATTCAGCTTAGGAGGAATATTTACAGACAAATTACACCCCAAAAGCTAATTATATATTAGAGGTGGGATTGGCAGTACCACCTATTGCAAAGGTGGTCTGACACTTCCCATTTTTTTTATGTTTACTTTATAACATTGGCAAGATTTAACAGAATGAACTGTCAGATGTCATTTTCATGTTTAGAGGTAGACACTTTTTAGTTTTATTTTTCTTTTTTTAAACAAAAGAAGGAAGTTCACCTATTCCAGGAAATAAAGCTAACCAAAATACCATTTTTCTCATATCTCAAAACTCTGATTTTGTGAAAAGCCCAAAACACTCAAATAAATTCTGATTTCAGATTTGCTAATTGATAACTACCATGTAGGTGTTTTATTCAAAGGATACATCTTCCCTGTGAAAATGTATTAGGATTTGGCTGAATCCTTAGTCTCCAACAAAGAGATTTAAGATTCCTGCCACAATCCAAGGAGACTGCAAGACATATTTTTTTGAAAATTTGAATTTTAGGAGCTAATTTTCCAGAGGTTTTTTCACTTCAGATTCTTCTTCAGATGACATCTTCTCATGTCTCTCAAGACCAGTGCAGGACACAGAGCTACAGACTGTGCAAAGTTTGGGACTGGGCACATTTCTCTGTCCAAGTACCTACTCTACCAATTCCAGGCAGTATTAAGAAGTAATGTCCTTGGCTGGATAGAGAGGGGGCCCCAGAGAGATCTGTGAAGGCTATAAAAACAGTTCAAGGCAATGCAGCCGAGTAACTGTGTGTGAGGGCTAGGGAAGGGAGCCTGAGTGAGAAGAGTAGGAGTTTTGTCAGTGGCTAGAGAGAGGTAGAGAGAAGATGGACAGGACACTGGCCTTACGCTGAGGCAAAACACGGTGAGAATAGAAACCGCACTGAATCAGGAGATGAGGAACCTAGCAAGGGATTGGGACAAGAGTCCAACTGAAAATTATTATGTGAATATATAATTAAAGACTATTTTCACGTATACACACTGGAGCATCCCTAATATGTCAATGCCAAATCTATGAGTACTGCCCTTTGGAATCTTACTAGAAAACCCAAGGGACTGCAATACGCAGCACCACACATACAGACATGGACAACTGACGGAGCTTGAGTGACAACAGAACAAATGTGAGTGTACACTTAGAATGCAAGTAAAATCTGAATCCTCCTTAAAGTCCAATTTACAGACCACCTCACAGTGTTTATGTTATAAACCAAAGCTACACTTAAGCTTAATGTAAGAGGAGGAGGCACCAAGATGAAACACCCATCAAGAGGAAGGAAGAACTAATTCCTCTATCTCTGGAATTATGCTGGAGCTTTACTAGTCAATGTGGAACTGATGTACTCTTGAAGTAGTTACTTTGCAAATTTCCTTGACACAGACCTGCAACTAGTCTTAAACCGAAGTGAAGGACAATCAGAGGGCAAACATTCAAATGCCCATTCAGATATTCTGGTACCTGATATTAAGATTCATTTCAGATGAAGGAGAATTACAGAGATTAAATAAAGAAAAAAAGGTGATTTAGGCTAATGGCCTGCTGCTGCAAAGCTCTGAACTGTTTTCTTAAGCCTAGGAAGCAATGCAATTTCCAGACAGATTCCTCCACCTGCTGTTTTCCTTTAACAGACTTTAACTTGAACAGACAAGGAATATGATGAGACAGAGTCAACATTACCAATCAAATAACAGTAAAAATTCTTGTCCCTTATACACACTGAAAAATGGGGAATTGATCAATATTCTTCCTCCTTAATTTAATAGCAGCAGTAAGGCTTAATGAAGAGCACATGCATCACATTCCTGCCACACACACAGAGCTGCTGCATTAGGACCATTAGCAGCGGCAATCCCATCCACTGGTATTTCCTTACATTCCCCTTCTTGCATGACGGAAAGAGGCCTATTAGCAGCAGAAGAATACTTAGTAAAGGCCAAATAATAACATAGAAGGAAAGGGTTGTTTGTTTGCTTGTTTGTTTTTTTTCTGGTAACCCCTTCCCTTCACAAAACGGAACTAGAATTAGGAAAAAGAAGTCTAATCTGGCTTTTTAAGGATAGAGCTACTGAGTAAGGTTATGGTTGAAATGTTGCTCTGCTTATATGAAAAAACACCCTTTTCAGAAAATCCCTTTATTCCAATTGAGATACTTCTTTACAACATCAGATAGAACACAAGAAATTAGCTCAACTACAAAGATTACCTAAAGAGTGTCTGCTTGGAGGCTACCACTAAAAAAACCCATATAAGACACACTTTTTATGAGGTGTAGGGCACAACTACTTTTTGCCATCTGTTTGAACTGCAATGGTACACCTCAGTTCTCAATGCCTGCCAAGAACAGAGCAGAAAGATTTTTTGTTTCACAGGAAACAAACCCTTAAAAAAACCCTCATAACTGCTTCATGCTGCATTTATGCATAACAATACAGCCCTGTCGAGGCATCCCTCCCTCCTCAGTGATTGATGGGAACAGGAAGGACAGCACCATAACTTGCCTACGGTATGTTTTAAATAAAATGAAAGAAATTATTCCAGCTATCACACCTCTCCAACTTTCAAAACATAAATCCTGAAGGTTTGATGAGGACAGATGCTTTCCTATTTGTGTATACTTTTATATACCATGCATTTTTAATTCCCATTTACTACCTACTTGCACAGACAACAGAGCACTTCAACGTCAACAACTTTTTCTAAGTGCACTGTAGCTACAACTTATGGATCATTCTTAAAATACTAGGCTAATGTATATGATTAATTCCCCAAGTCTGGTGGCCTCTACTTGCACAAACACAACTCCCACTCCCAAACCTGCACTGCTGCATCTGAAACTCTTGCAGAAATAAAACTGACATAAGAACCCCACCACAGTTGTCTCCAAAGCCACTGAGATCTTACATGGATTCAAATGGCTAGGAAGCTCCAGATGGCAGAAAACACGTGAAATGAATGCAGAACAGAAAGCCTGGTTGGTTGGTTTCCCTAAATTACCTTGACTCTAGCAATAAAATCTTACTACAAGTAAACAGTTAGATGAGACATTAACAATGGCACCATAGGTTAAAAATTTTAAATAACTTCAGAAAGATCCATTTAGAGACTATCAGGAGGTTTCTAACATATTATCCTCTTTCCAAAACACAGCTCTTATTAAATATATACATTGTACAATGCCAGGACTCAGACTGTTAACAGATTTATTTAGATATATTTGAATGACTGATCTCTAAATTAGCTAATTGATTCTCCTCCTTAAAATAATAATGATCAAAAGAAGCTGCCTTGTAACCTATATCTTGTAATATCATTTTCCTTTGGCTATTTGAAACAATCACAATAGTTGGAGTCATGCAATACATTCAAAAGACAAAACCCAAATGCTAAACTTTGTAGCCATTTCTAACAATAAGCATCTGAATAAATTCTGGGACAGAATTCCCTTCAGTGTCCATGAGTTGAAGACTTTAAGAAATATAGCCTAAAGAAATACTGAAATGTTAGCCTAGGGATCTTCACCTCTCACTGTGGTTTAACTGGGCCTGTCCATCTTTCAGGCAACTCATTCAGTTTCCTTAAATTCTCATTAAAAAAGCAATTTCTGCTAGTGCAGTACTAAATTATAAAAAAATTATCCCTTCCTCCTTCCTTATAATCCAAGGCAGCATGTATTCTAACAAGCAAGTGACTCAAACTTACATTTTTCTGAGGTTGGGCAATTTCTTGAAGAGTCCGATAGCTTCCAAAACAGAAATATCATTGTCATTCAAACGCCTGATAGGAACAAACAAAAAGACATTTAATACTTCACAGATGTCTGTAGGTATATTTCTGTGACATACAGAGCTGCCACACAGAGAACTATGACCTTTGCTAAGCAAGACACTATCTGCCATCTCTCTCAGACTCCTAGAGTGAAGAGTTTAGCTTTGAAGGAAAGGGAACATGGAAGACTATCTATAGTAAAAGCTTACAATGCCTTTAAGAGTGTAATGCCAAAGGACAGTGTCAGAATGCCTTCTTCCTCCAATGCACAGGATAAGGGACTATTAACCTTAACCATTAAAAAGCCTTGTTCGCGTGACTAAACCTCCCTCACGCATTCTGCTACAAAAGACATGCAATCGGAGATGTGGTCCCTGTAAACAGAAGGGATCTGCTTTCAGGTCCTTTCCTATCAAAGTCTACTGGTCTTCAAAATTAATGCAAAGGCCACTGTCTTAGCAGGTTTGGGATGCAAAATTCTTTCTCTGATTACATGTAGCTCCATTTTTCTACATAGAGACTTTGCTGTGTTTCTGGATGTGTCTCTCACATTTTTTTATCTTAACTTCAGATCAACAATTTTTATGGGGTTTTAAATAGAATACTTTAAGTACAATAAATAGAATACTATCACAAAAAGAGAATTGTGTTTGAAGGGGCTATTGATATAACAAAAGAACAAGATTCTTAAGTTACTAAGTAATAAACATGTTTTCTCACACTCTATTTAACAGTATATTATGTTTATAATTCCTAAGAATCTCTAAAAGCAAATACATTTCATAAAATCACTTATAGCTTAACAACACATTAGTTTTAGCGAGAGCCGTTTCACCCAAGTAGCAGGCACTGCTGAAATGGAATGAGTTCCCGATCACAGATTTAACTCAAAAGGGTTAATCCATTTCTTAAATAAAAATGACCAGATGCAAAGACAAATGACTCAAAGGTAGAATGAAAAGGAACCAAACAGCTTGGGCCACATAACAGGTCAACACTTCAAGACAACACACACAGGCAGCTGATGCACAGGGCCATGGCTCCTTTCTCATCCCCACAGTTGCCATGAATGATAAGGAAATAAGAGAGTTGTGGTTCTCCTTTTAAATAAAATTAACTTCCCCTTTTTCACACAGGGATTTAAAGTAGAAGGTGCCTTGAATTGGTCTGAGTCCTTTTTACAGCCTTTAAAAACTAGGAAAACCAACACGCCCTGCTGAGCACATCTTGGAGAGCCAGCACTTACAGATCAGTAGTATATTCAGGAAGGTGACTGGGTAATCGGGTGAGTTTTTGGTTAGAGCAGTCTACAATTGTTCCCTCGCAGCGACACTTCTCAGGACAGACAAGGTCCATGAAACACTTCCCGGTGAATTTACTTCTGTAATCCTCTGACCCTGCAATAAAAGGAAAATATATTCCAGCAAACAGCTCCTGATAACTGTAGCAATCAGAGATTTTATGGAATCTATTCTCAACACCGCCTCCTGTCAGCTCCCAGCTCCTGCACACAATTTTAATACTTGCCAAAGATTTTTGTTCAGCGCTTTTTCAAATCACTCCCAAGACTAGCCTCTGTTATTTCACTCTTCCCTTGACAGATTAATTCCTTGTCTAACAAGCCTACCTGTTAAGGTATTTTTTGAAACACCTCTAATTAGCTGTTGGAGTCGGCTTCAAAGGAGCTCCAGCAGTCACTTTTTCCCATTTGGAACTTAGTCCAGCAACAAGGAAAAGGGATCTCATGAAAGCAGGAGCTATCTTGGTGCATTCAAATGACAAAGGATTTTTAAAGACGTCATTAAAAAGCCCAAAATTTTCAGACCTCAGCTATTAGAGTTATTTTTGAGAGCAATCTTTTATGAGAGAACCTTGTCAATTTTCCAACAATTAGATACCTTTATTAACTATGTTAAACAAACAGCAGAGGAAAGTAATAGCAGTTTAAATCATTTTCATTTTAATTAAGGAACGGGTAGACCATACTTAGTGAGAAGCACTCCCTAATGTACCATAATACCATGATTGCCAGACCTCTTTGACTAGGTTTTTGACCCATTCTAATGAAATGCTTTTCCAATTAGGCTCAGTGAACTAATCTGTCCTTTTCAGGTTTGGTTTTTCTCTTTTAATAACAGCAGGTTGGAAACTTGATCTCTGTGCTTCAAGGAACCAGGAGTATTAATAAATGTGTATGTAAGCAAAGTGTTGCCAAGACCCTGCCATGCAATACCTGCCCACTCACTTCATATTTCATAATGGAAGCACCAGAATTGTCTTAGGAACCTTGTGTAATGCCCAGTGATCATAACCACCAAGAAGTATTTTTTCTTTTCCAGCGTTTTAAAAGTCAATTGCAAGGCTTTCTCAGGAACGATCTGAGCAAGTTCAGTTTTTAAGAACCTGAAAACATCAATAAAAAATTAAACCTGAGCTGAAATTTGTTTTTAGAGACTTGATGACATTCTTCACCTGCTTCCCCTTCCCAGACTGATAAATACACCACTGCTCATTTTATGACCGCATATTATTTTCTGTAAGAAAAAAGAAGTCACCTAAACCCACTATTATTTTAATTTATGTTACACATTACCTCCACAGGGCGATGCAGTGAAAGCAAGCAATTCTGCAGGCAATCTAACATTTTGATTCCACAGACACACTTCAGTTTAGTTTTGTAATTCCGAACTAGATTATGAGAAACATCACATACAGCTTTGTACCTTACCACTTCTGTGGTGCTAAATACTTTGCAGGTTAACATGCTTATTGTAAATTACACATCTCAAAAGTGAGACTTGGCTACTGTTTTTTAGCTTGACAGCACAGCACTTAAAATATTAGGACCACTGGGCATTTTAAAGTATTATAAAAATACACTCTAAGCCTTTCCCCACACCACCATCATTTAAACTCTTACCCTTTCAAAAAACCCCATCTGATTTCCAGTCCTAAAAATTCCAGGCTTGGTAGTCAGGCTAAAATGTCAAGTGATGAGCGTATTATGGCTTGATTACAAGAACATACAGCTATTCTTTCTTAGGTCTATGAGACAGTACATTTGGCTGTTTATGATTCCTTGGAAATAATGCCAAAGATGAACAGTTATCAAACCACAGTTTATTAAAAACTGTGACAATTACAGTACGCCTTGAAAAACCCAACAAAATTTTTCAGTGATCAGAAAGCGTCTTGGAAATCCCCAAATTAACCCTTGAAGAACCACTTCTAATTTTCATTATAAAAGCTTTCTTTGAAAGAATAATCACAAACATCATGAAGTTACACAGAGTAAAAATTTATTAAGTATAATTTTTAATCTACTGATAGATACAAGATTCATCTTCCTATGGGAAAAAAGAAAAATGGGAAAGTAAGTGGAATGCTTTATGAAGGAGACAAAGGGGTATATAATATTAGAGGGTGAAAATCAGGTTTTGGTTTTCTCTCAAGCTTTCTGGCAAAGTAAATAAAGTATATTTACCACATTTTTACTTAGCAGTCTCTCTCTCTTGATGGCATACAACCTTCCATACTGCATCAGCTATAAGAAGTTGATCTTGCCTGGGCATCAGTCCACTGCCTCCATGCTTGCAACAGGGGAAAGCCCTCTCAGCTCAGCAGAAGAGGAAGGGAGCAAACATCACCTTTGTACTTTTATTTCTTTCTCTCTCTCTCTTTTTTTTTTTCCTTTTCCTTTTCCTTTTTTTTCTTCTAAGTTACCCAGGTAAGCACCGAGTCAAAAGTAATCAGTAGCATGTATATGCTCAGCAAATACTCAGTCATCCATTAGACTGTGAGACAGCAGGAATCACCTACCAAAGACTAGATAAAATTTACTATTTGACCTGAGCCTTGAGATGACTTGGACAGGTGGCTGCTTTATTAAGATATTCCCATCTGGGATATTAATGTGAAATTCAGCCATCTGCTTGCAGAACTATTTAAGTGCGTATATCCATTTCTCCACACAGGGCTTTATCGGTGTACTACTGCAGGGCTCTGAGTGAACATGACAGGATTCAGGAAGTACAATTAACCATCACGTGCGTGTAGTACTTCTTGCATGCTATAAAATCACCTGTGGAAAGCCATGGAAAAGAGATGCAGGACAGGCACAGAAGAAACACTTGGCTTCATTTTACTATTCCAGACCAGCCATTTGGTAATTTTATTATACCTGAAAGCATGTGTGCACTGTAGCTGAGAACTCTGTGAAGCTTGGCTGAATGTAAAACATGACCTGGGTGTTTCTAGTAATTTCCAAAATTAAAAATAATTAAGTGTGCTGTAAAATGAGTAGCCAAGGCAACAGCAAGGCCTGTATTTAACTGAGGGCAACTGTGTTTATCTGAGTTGCTAGTTACTCTGATATTTTCATTTCGCAACTTACGTGTCACCACTATCAGGTACCAGGGCATTGCAATTCCTCAGTATCATAAAACAAACACACATGCCATTCTACAAAACAGCAGTATGAGATAAAGAAACACCACATTTCCAAGTGCTCAAAAATTTTAGGTGCCTTTCTAATACCCACATGAAGAAATTAAGCAACAGAGACAAATACCTTTTTGTCCTATTCTTCTTTTTAAGCATTGCTTAGCAAACCTGATTTCAGTTTTTAAAACTTAGCTTTGCCCAAAGGACTTAAAAGGAGTGCTGGATGATCTATTCTGGAAAGAATCTATCTGTCTCAACAGGGGCTTGAATACTGACCTGATATATTCATTCTAGAAAAGATGGATCCAGCTGCCTCAAATTTGGTAACAAAAATATGATCACAGAGATCACTCGGTCTAAAACTTGGACAAAAAAACAGGAATCCCGACACTCACTTCTTCATGTAACCACTAGATCACAATTCTCATAGGTTTTCAGGAAAAAAAAGGAGGTACGTTGTTTGTCATAATTTCACATCGGTAGTATTAATTCTTATCAGTAATTACAGAGAAAATCTAAGAATTTCAGATGTCCTTCTTCTGATGGCTCCACAACAGATATGTAACAAATTTGCAAGATGAGGCAGTATTTCCATATAAGAAAACTTCTGTATGAGGCTCTCAAAGTCCTTTATGAATAGGTGTAATTATCTCTATTTTACAGAGGGGGGAAGTTAGGCAGAAGTATGTTAAAGATCTTATCTAAGCTGTTCAAAGCTAAAATGGTCCATTTGGGTATACTGACTCAGCTTTGTGCTATGCAACTATTGGATAATCCTCTTTTCATACAGGCCATGTTACCCATGTCATTTCAAGAGATAAAAGACAATGCTTTGCAGACTCTTCTGAAGTTCTTTTGCAGTATACTTCTTCATAATGAAATGCCAGTGCATTAAGATTGCTCAGATCAGGTCCAAAGTTACGTTAAGTAGCAGGCATCTTGTTACAGAAGCGGCATCCAAAGTTACCTCAAGTAGGACTCACTGGACAGCTCAAATAGAGAGATGTGGCTTACGTTATTTATAAGGTAAGAAGACAAAAAAGATTCTTCATCTCTGTAGGTATGGCTGGAATCACCCTTGAATCATATTAATCAACAGGATGCCTAACTTCTGCATTCTAAGAGCAATTAAACAGATTAATTACTTAGAAATGGTTATTCTGCATGCAAGCCCTCTGGAAAGTCTGTCGCAAACAACACTAGGGCTCCCCCCTGCAGCGCCCGGGAGTCTGGTTAAGCAACACTTCACCTTTTTCATTTTTCCTGTGAGAAAAGGGGAATCTCTCACCTTTTGATGCTTCTGAAAACAGCAGAAGTATCCCAGCATGCCATGCGGCAGGGAGTATGCAGCCTTCCATGGTGCTTGACAGAACCATGTTCAATTCGTATTGTTCTACCACATGGTTAGATCAAGCACAAAGGAAAACCCCATGAACAGCCAGAGTCAGAGTTAGGCAGCGCCAAAGAGAGAAGAGCGTTGAGAGGAAGCAGCATGGAGAAGCACAAGCTGAAGGTTCACGGAGAGCTGCTCTCCACTCCACCCATGCAAAAAGGTGCTGGATACAAGAGGTCATCCTTTACGCTATAACTGCAGGAACACCCTGGAGCACAATTGGGGTTAGTGTACAAGAACAGAGCCCAGGCGAATTCAGAGACAGAACTAATATGATAGAAAATACTACCAAAGGACTGCAAACAGCTCCTTCCAGGAAGGATGTGCAACTTCCACCACATATTGAATGCCCAATCTACACTGCTCTTTATTAGCTACTTACTCTCTCCCGGTGTCTCCTTTCAGTATAAATGCCATTTTGGTTTGCTCCATTAATTTAAATGCAATCTTAGAAATACCTCAGCTCATATTAATAATAGTAGGTTCTGAGCTGATGGCCAAGCTCTGGCATTAAATGCTCCCCAAGCTCCCTTTGAGCCTGATTTCAGCTCCCAGTGGCCT